ACTCAACAATCATTCACACTCACTTTCACACCTATGTTCAGTTTAGTGTGAATAACTAACACGATCCTGTGTGATTCTGGACTTCAGCTGGACGTCCTGGGTTTCCGATGACTTTGACCTTTTGGTTTTGAGGTTACGTCGCCATCTGCCATAAATTTATTGGAAAAGTCTTGTTCTATCATTCTGACGTACGGCGTTAAAACAAATTCCGCAAGGAAACTAGTTGGCGAGCCCAGCGAACGAAAAAGCTGTTACGTGATGCTATACGCAGACGACAGCCTTAAATGATCGAGAATTCACTTCTTCACACTTTGTTATTCCATTCTTCCTTTTTAGATGTTTTCACGATCGACCCTTGAAATGTTAGCATAACGTTGCCGATTCTTGACACAAAGTGCCCATTACCCAGTGACCAGCCTGCGGGCTGTAATAATTACTGCCGTCACCTTCTGTACACAGCTCTGTTCAGCTGATTCCACCGTCTGTCACTGACACCAGTCAATAGCACTTCAAGGATCAGGGCTTCCTGTTAATTGGAACAAACATGGCTGCCGTCATGGTTGAGGCTAAAGCTTTGCCAAAGGCGATGTGGAGTGGAGATGCGTTATCCTCTCTGTCACAGCGCCGAGTAGAAAGTACACAGCTTCAGATACATGGAGCAGCAAACACTGTAATCCTGATTATAATAATCCTTTATAAAAATATCTTCTTACATCCTGTCGGCAAAGGTTTGGTCAGCCAATTTATCTGATCGTGAATTTGTGCGATCTTGGGCAACCAACACGTTCATGTCGTCAGAAAGTGTGCGATATTATCCACAAAATTAGGGGCCGTCAAACAATCAACATACTTAACGTGATGGATTAGCTGTGGGTTAGCCCTGAATGATTCGGATTATTCATGATCGTGATTGATATTGATTAATTGAGATTAACTGACATAAAAGGAAGATTGATTTACAAACCGGCTTCAACTGTGGAAAAAGAGCGGGTTGCTAACATTTATCAGAATTTACCGCCAAAAATTCTTTCATACAGAGTTAGTTTTCAAACCAGTGTTTTTAAACATCGATCAAAACTCTGAAATTAAAATTTGTCAAAGGCAAAGAGGGCTGTTGTAAAATTAGCGGTTGACAAAATATTCAAATTTAAATCGGATTAATCACAGTGAAGCCGTTGATTAATCTTGATAAATCGGATCAAGTGTGTTTGTAAAACTGATCAGAATCCACTGACAGTAAAAGTCACTGATTAAACAATGGCTGGTTATCGTTCAGGGTTCTCTCTGGCTGTGGTGTCAGGTTGTCATGGTTACAGTTCACTATGAATAGGTCAGAGGCAACAGGAGCGCAGGTATAATTGGTGTGAAACAGTGAGTTGGTGTTGAAGTCATGCACCTGCAGCAGCTCCAGCTGCAGGTAATATCTGCACCGCGGGACTCCGTCCCACACGGACAACACTTAGCATGACGGCTAACGGCTAACGGCCTGCATTTAAATGCAATCAGACTTCACCACATTTACTCCTATTATGCTGAATGCACATGTACAATTATCCTGCTTCTGTAAGAGAGAGCTGAGGAGAGAGAGAGGGGGAAAGTGTGGGGGAAATGGGAAAACAGGAAATGGGATTTTGACCATTAGGAGAAGGAAAAAAAAGCAACAATTTGTCCTGATACTGTGCTGGTGAATACAGAGATCCAGTTAAAGTGTTGCGGGTCAGTGAGTGTTTCTACCTGAACACTTGTGTCTAAGAACACCAGGAATTAGCATTAATATGTGACTGGTTTGACCAATTAGACAACACGGGCAGAAGAGCCGTCGGGCCTTGTTACACATTCAGATCCACACCTGCACTCAAATTATTGAAAAGGGATTTAAGTGATGAATTGAAAGTGTGAACGTCCGACCGGTAAAATAGACGGAAACTGAATAATGTACAATTTGTATTCATTTTTGGGTACGTTGGAAATCCTCTAGTGCCACACAGTGGTGGAAGTGATAAGTGATAAGGTTATAGGATAACTGATACAGTGTCATCCCCGGTCCTTCTGCCTGTTCTCCAAATGAAGTGGTTCTCAAGGTAGGGGGGGTTTAAAAATTGACCACAGTTAGAATTTTTTTTTTTATTGTATTTTCTTTGTTGGCGCAAAAATATCTGTATTTTAGGTGAAGTTCTTGCAGTATCTGTGAATGAATGAATGAATGAATGAATGGGGCAGCAGGGGAGGTTTTCAACAACATGCAGAATTGGGTCAGTGTTTAATTCTTAATTGACCACAGGTGTGAATGTGTGTGAATGAATGTTTGTCTCTACATTAGGGATAATTGAGAAACGCTGCTTTAACCCATGACTCTAGTGAGCAGGCGGGACTTCACTTCCTCAACCACCGGCCACTATATCGCCAAAAAGTTCAAATTGGACATTTCTACTGGAGAACTGACTTCATGTTTGTACTTTGTGTCAGGTGACTACGTTTCCTCACTCACTCCCTCTACCTGTAGTCTTTATTCCTGCCGTTGCAGTCGTAGCCTCGGGAGCTTCAAAAGCCACCGTGACTGTTAGACCAACAACAGCATCCAGTGAACCTGAAGAAACAGTCGTTTTCCTGCTGTTCTGAAGATTCATTTCATTTGGAGTCGTGTTTGATTCACTGCTCTGATGACATTTCAGGTGTGAACTTTACAATCGTTCTATACCATTGCTCCTCAGACGTCGTCTGGCGCGTTTCAGGAGCCAGGACCGAGGCAGGGTCTTTGGGGGGCTAATCAGTTTTTATTGTACCTGGGATACTTAATTTTACAGCTCCTGATCCAATCACAGCACTTCTATATTTGGCTGAGTATGTTTTACTAGTTGCTAGCTTGTTTTGACAGTTTGGGGATCGTCTTCATTTGACTGTGCTGCTGGTCTCACGGCCCTAATCCTCCTGGTCCTGATAAGACGACGACACACTGGAAATAAATCTCCTAGAACAAAAATATCACTCGTACAAAGCCGCGCTTCGCCTTTGTGTTGTGATAAATAACCACAGTATCGTAGAAGAATGGAGGTTTGCGCCACCGTGCTGTGATCAGAGAGAATTTCCTTTAAGCTCAAGTCAAAGACCACGATGGAGGAGGCCCTGCGTTTTTTGTTTGTTTTTTTTTGTTCCCAACATAAGGGTCCTGCTCCTACAGATAAACACAGCTGAATGAGATGGGGATGAGAGCCAGGGATGAAATGACATTTTTAATCTCAGGGCTGAACAGCCATGTGAGCAGAGATGAGATGCAAACCAAGCATCCCTCCGGGAAGGAGGTTATAGATTGTCGGATGACACCGCTGGTCCTCGGAGAGGCAGACCATCACTCAGAATTTGATATCCACTCTTAGTTTGTGATGTTACCGTACGGCTGCACTCAACCTACAGAACATGTGATGGCTGTGATCAATGGGTTCTCCCTGTCACGCCTTTTAAGAAACGCTCCCTTACTTCCTGGCACAACAACCCCCCCGAGGGTCTTTGCGTCGCATTGCCAGCGCTGCATTGACACAAGTCGTTGTATGTATTTCAGGTAACGGATCACAGCCACATTATTAAACTGTGTGTGTGTGTGTGTGTGTGTGCAAAGATATGGCATTTTCTATGCATTTAACTGTATTTAAATACAGTACATGCAGTACCTTCTACCTACCTGCTACCTTTAACAACAAAACCACTTTATAAATATTGGCTGCTAAATATCTGTTGTGGAAATTAGTGAAATTTTAATCGGTTTTAGCCAACAAAATAAAATAAATTAAATCTATCAACTTAAATCAATATTTTCTTATTTTCTTTTAAATGTACTAAACTCTAAACTCTTTTTAAATCATCTTTGGTCACACGTCCCCTTTGATCAGATCTCACACTCTGGGCCTTTTAGCTCCGTGTTCCCAAACCTTGTTTCACCCATGGCACAGTGCAAAGCAAAATGTCACAAAAAATATCTTAAATGTATTATGATGTATGCATTATATTTTACCTACTCTCTGCTGTCTTAGTTTGGTCCTGTTTAGTTGAACACACCGCTGATGTACCTCCAGGAATTGAAGAAAGACAAACACAAAGAACTTCTGTCTGTCACTGTTGCAAAGACACACAAATATATTCATGAGGTTATGTATTATAAATGTGTCCACTAGGGTCGCGGTTGATACACCTGCTTCACAAAGCGAGACTTGGGTTCGATTCTCAGAGGAACCACATACTTGGCGTCTTGTAAACTGAGTGATGAAAATTTAAGGTGGATTAAATTGACTCCAGTGTGACACCGAGCACAGATTGTTCTGCTGTAATCTGTCATGAGGGCAAATCAAAATGTTCTGAGACAAATTTAAATAAAAAAAACAACCTTTATTCATGGAAGTAATAAATGATTTCTTTAAAACTCCGTTTAAGTTTTAACACAGGTCGGTGCTCGAGGCACAGAAAGCACAACCTGTACTTTGCACCAGGAAAACTTTTTCACTTTTTTATAGTTTGTTTGTTTGTTTGTTTTATGCCCTGACTGACTTTTTAAACTTTCGTGAAATTCTGCCCTTGTACCATTGAGGGATGCTGTAACCCTGGAGGAAGAACGTCTCAGCAGAGGAAATAAAATGCACATTAAATTAAATGTAATGATTCCAACCATTTTAAATCAGTTATTATTATCTTAATTATCCTTGATTAATTTGGCTGCACTCGTTTGGATTGTTTATTGTAGCTACACCAGTGTTAGACGGTGTAGAATTTAGAATGGAGATCACACACACGCCGTGTGACAGGTCGATCATGAAAGGAACGTTAAAAGCCTGGTTGGAGACGAGGCCACTCAACAAGTCGGAAAGTTCCAAGACAAAAATAAATTCACCCGTCTGCAATACTTCAATTCAGATCAGCTGACCGTTTCTGTTTTATGATTGACAGCTGTGTTTAATTAGGCACGTTTTGACAAAATGCTCACGAGATATTCAAAACTTCTTCTTTCTTCACAGTTACACACTCCGTGTGGTCGGCAACGGAATCAAAGCTCAGAGTGTCAACCCGGAAGTCAAAGTGAAGGAGGCGGACCCTGTGATACACCAAATAATTGACAAGCTGAAACACGTCAATCAGGTGAGTCACATTTGTTACGTTCTACGTTAGCGTTTCCACTGGGTCCGTCCCAGGTCGGTCGGTCTGTCTCAAATCTCCCCGTGTGGTTGGACTTCCTCCCACAGCCCAGAGAAAATGACGATAACCTGCTTCACTTTGACTATTAATTCAAATTGGGGGGTTAGCCTCCATCCCTGGAAGCTGTTACAGGTGGTGCAGAGGTTCGCAAACCTGGTTGTCACGTAGAGTGAGGCTCGGCCACTGGCATCTCAGTGGCCCTGCCCTCAGTACACGACCCACATGTTTGTTTTTTTGAGGACTTATTGACTCACCCTCTTATCAACCACATTAAATGTAGTTTACAGTAAGTCTCTATGCAGATGATGTGATTCTAATAGTTTCTCGGACATGTGTCACCTGACCACACACCACACGGACGAGGTTTTTTTGTAAACATTTTCATCTCCTGACATTCATTTTGTTAAGAATAAACTCCTGGCTCCCACTTCCATTTAAATACCTGACACATTAAAGACTGCCAGCAGGGGGGGGTGTGCCGTCAGTGTTTTCCTACAAAGTCTGTTACACTGTTGTTATTATCAAATGATCAATAACACTCAGTTACCTGGTATGTTCCACCTTGATAACACAGTGGCTAATAAAAGCTAGCCGCTGTATATGTTCTTTATATTTCTAAATGTATTTGATGTGGGTTGCCTGTCGTTATACCTACAAAACGTTTCTCCAGCTCTTTGTCAAAATCAATGGAGCTTCTTTCTAAGGCCGCCTGCTTTGATGCACATTTGTAGCGCGGCGGCTCCCTCCAGGGCTGTTTATCTTTCAAGGATGATGAGATTAGGGCGGTTTACGGGAGCACTTTCTGCTCCGGAGTTTCAGTAACAGCTGCTGCAGCCCTCTCTGACGCAGCAGCATCAGGAGCAGCAGCATCAGCAGTAGCAGCAGCATCAGCAGTAGCAGCAGCAGCAGCATCAGTAGCAGCACCAGCAGTAGCAGCAGCAGCAGCAGTAGCAGCAGCATCAGCAGTAGCAGCAGCAGCAGCATCATCAGCAGCAGCAGCATCATCAGCAGCAGCAGCATCATCAGTAGCAGCAGCATCATCAGTAGCAGCAACAACAACAGCAACAGCAGCAGCATCAGTAGCAGCATCATCAGTAGCAGCAACAGCAACAGCAGCAGCATCAGTAGCAGCAGCATCAGGAGCAGCAGCATCAGCAGGCAACAGCTCTCTCTGTGTCTCTGTTGCTCTGGTTCCCCACTGAAGGCCAGGTCATCTCTCTTGACCCCTCCAGCTCCTCTCTCTGACTAATTCACACCATCTGCAGGATGTCAGACCACATAAATCCATAACCATCCAGCAGCTCCTGATCTGCCTTGTTGACTCTCTGACTGTGAAGATGGAATTCTCCGTGGGGGGGGGCTAACATCTCAAACACTGAAAATAGCCCCTCCACCAGACGGGCTCCCAAAGCATCAAAACAAAACAAACAAATAAAAAATCCCAACCCAGGATTTAAAAGTGATTACTGCGAATGTATCTTTTATAATTCTAATCCAGAATGACACATTATTTACTGCCGTTGGTAGCTGAAAAACAAATAAACTTAGAAGGAATGAATTGAAACAGAGTAGAACTAGCACCAGAATAAATACTAAGGCTGTGAAAACAAACGCATTACTGTATTCATAATACAGTAATTAGGGATGTCTGATATTCCCTTTTTTCTGATTCCGATATCAACCTAAACCAACATAGTCCTGGTAATATTCATTTATTTATCTGTACAATCCACTGTATGAGTTCCTGGCACCAACATTCTGTCTGTCATGTTAAAATAGATTAATAAAATGAGCTGCAATGCTGCCATCTAGTGGCTTTCACCTTCATATACAGCTGTTTTTCCCCAAAACCAATTTTAAGACACACGTCATTTGGCGAAACCCAGGCATTGCGTTATCGGGTTTTTATTATCGGAGGAAAAAACGATAACGATTCTTACCGATATTACATAATTATGCTAATATCGTGCCGATAATATCGGTCGGCTGATATTATCAGACATCCCTACGAAATAGTCATTCAAAGCAATGGCAGTAACAGCTGATAGTAATAATCATCATCTTTAGTGTTTGAAGAGACTGAGAGGTGAATTCAAGAAAACAATTTCAAAAAAGAGGCCCCAGAGACGGTCCAAACATCTGGAGCTGGTCGTATTAAAAATACCTGGAGTTTATTGTGTAGAGAGTGAAAAGCAGGAATAAATGCAGCAGCAGAGCCAACGGTACCAAAGACAATAACTGACAGACAGACGGCGCTGGAACTGTTCTAAAATAGATCATAGAAAAAGGAGCTCAAATGGTTGATTTGATGTGAAAGGAAATCCATAAACCCTGGCCAGCGTGTCACAGCTGTGTGTGTGTGTGTGTGTGTGAATATGTAAAACACCAATTACATAAACCATTGCACACGTTTCCTTTTCAACGCATGAGCGACTGAAGTAACATCTGCCTTCACCTTGTACAGTACTGGTACACAGCAGTACTGCAGCCAGTCAGTAAAGTACTGCTACGTCCTGTTCATACTGTACGATGAAGTTTACCTTTATAAAAAAAACCTGTGCATGAACGGAGGCTGTCGTTGGATCGGCTCGCCCTCAATGTCGGGAATTCTTCAGGAACCAGACCGACGAATGTTGAATGTTGATTTTTGTCCAGTTTCGTCCAACATTCATAATCGGTTTCATATATCTGCCTCTGACCTTGAATAACTGACGTGAAGGAAGAGAGCGCCCCCGGTGTCCTCAGCACCTAATGGAAATATTTCATTACTGTTTCACAGCCGGCGACGGCAGGAGACAAAACATCGACGTGCAGGAATAAAAAACAAATTCATCACGAGAGCGAGGCGTGCAAACTAGAGCTTTCATCATCTGGCTCATCAGCACCCCCTTCTCCATGAATTATTTGTTGGCTAGCGGTCCTCGCTGCCTGTCCTCTCCTCTTGATGTGCTGAGACCCATCAGGAATCCATAAGTAGGACTCAGTCCCCGTGTCTCTCAATCAAAATCAGAGGCCAGCGGCTCCTGGTCCAGTCGGCCGGCTGAATTATTTACCAGCCATTAACGTGGTGGTTGACCAGCAGTTTGGCTGGTGAATTATTCATGCACGCGCTCCTCTTAGAACAGAGGATTAACACTGATAATGTATTCACACTTTGTTGTCCACATACATAAATGCACACGCCGCCAGAACATGTGATCATCACAGGAACCCATTTACAGAGCTCTGGCATCAGGTTGTTGTAAACCCCCCCTCCCCCCCCCCAACATCCTACAGATCAATTCCTTGTCTTATAATCCTAATCTGTCTGTTTAGTTTCCATGCTGTGATGACGTGATGAAGGGTATTAAACCTTTATTTTAATTTAATTCAGCATTTATACCTGTTAACTAGAGAGCAGGATAAGACGGTGTTTATTGGTGTGAACGCTCTGCTCACTTTCTGGATGAAAGTTTGATTTTATCATCTTTATTATTTTTTTTATTTTTAGGATGTATTGATATATTGTCCAGTCAGTTTGAAGACTTATAGTTATAAATATTTGTTAGTCCACTCCTGCAGGTATCGGTTTATAAAACAGTTTCTCAGGACAGACCTACTATTTAAATCCTTTAGCCTTTAAAAAAAAAAGAAGAAACTGCATCAAAGACTGATGTAAATCATTTCTTCTGACACTCGGACTGAACAGAGTTGTAACAATAAAGACCATCTCATGATGGGACTCCAACCCTCACCCTCACTGTTGACCTGCTGTTGATCTGGATGAAGATGTAAGAGCTGCAGCTGCGCTGAGGCTGATGGGAAGTGACAGAGAGTGTCAGGGGGACGGGCTCGGAGACTGACACCTTTCTCCTCTGCTGCTCAGTCTGGTGGTTGAAGGTTCTCTCTCCTCCACCTTCTCCCCGCAGACACAGGACTGTGGACGGAGAGAATACTAACACACCTCTGGGGGGGGGGGGGGCTTTATTAGCAGGTATATGTCTTGACTTTTCTATTGACGATACACAGGTACATACTACCTGCTCTGTATCCATAGTAGTACCAGTAGAGTATATCTGGGTATTTTCACCCTCACAATTGGTAAAAACATTTTGTTTGTTATGTTATAGATACACTTTGTATCTCTCTCTCTCTCTCTC